GCCTACAATAATCCAAGTAAACCGAAAACTAATCCCGAGTACTGTAGAGTATCATGGAAGAACATCAACTTGGCGATGACAGAGAATACAAAAAGCTCACATAAAAATATACATTCGTTATTGGGATGCATACTAACACATACTACTGCCAAAATAGATGCTACCACTGTACCGACAATTCGTCTCAATCCTTTCCGAATAGACGCGCCTGGTGTGGGTAGGAAACAGAATAGACAAGGGAGCATCAGCCAGAGGCCAAAATGAGATAGCACGGCGAAGTATTGACCACCAACAGTAAGGAAGAGAGCGACCAAAGGAACAGTGATCGCAGCACGCAATGGATAGGCCAGGCGGACTCTCCAAGTGATCTCAGGATTCGCCGAAGTGAAGAAAGGCTGCCTAAACCAGTCGGCGACCTTCGTAGCAACCGAAGAATCTCCGTTAGAGCCCTTGACCCGGATGAGGAACTCGTGAACAAGCAGGGAGAACTTCACCATTTCGTTAATGGCGAATTCGGAATTCTTCGACTCTGTCGTGGCACGGACATCAGCTCGAGCTCGACACTTCTCCACAGATGAGCTCAGATGCCTTGCAGCTGTAATAATATCGTTATCAAACTCATGATGATCATCCCACACTCTGAGAGCAGTGACCACCTTCTGACGAAGTGATACCATTTCACCATCAAAAGGACCCGACCATGGAGTTTCCAAGGCCTCAGCCTCGAGCGTCTGACGTTGTGAAGATCTTCGTACAGTAGATAGGCATGCAAACATGGACCAGATGGTGCCACGTAGCTTCGGATCACTCGTAGAGGCTGCCGCTTCCGTGCTAGCCTGATATAGATCATCCCACATGCGCCGTACTACGGCTCCTTCTTGGTCTGTAACTCGCCATAAGAAGGTAATCTCATCAGAATAGTCCGCTAATATAACACTGAGGCGCCTCAGCGACTCCAGTCGAGTATCGGGGAGCATTCGAAGAGACCACATTAAGAGAGTTCCCATCAGGGGAATCAATGAGCCGATGGTGTAGCCAGTAGCCGCGGTGAGCGCAGACCAATACGGATCCTCTCCACCAAAAACGATGGGGATGATGAGCAGGAGCAGAGCCTTGTCGCCTCGATAGACACAGCTTAATTTGCAGTAAACTTCACCTGCTTGATCGGCCAAGGACAGAAGAAAAGAGGCTGGTACAGCCAGCATGATACCAAGATAAGGATTATAGTCTCCTTCATTCAAAGCAGACACCACATACACAATAAGGCTGCCACAAGCACATCCCAGCCAGGACGCTACAGTCGTCTTCAACGACCATTCCAGTGATAGCCTTAGATCGAGATATGACACTATGAGAGCACCAGCCAGGCCCAGAATCTGAAGTACACAATCACGGCAGATGAATATCAATAGAGAAAAACTCACCATGAAATGTGGCGGGAAAACGGCCGAGATGGTCGAATTGAAGACCGTAATTGACGTCAAGCACACTGTAATGCCAGTAAAGGCAGCAGTCTGGACTTCCACGATGGATTGGGGTGTCAAACCCCAGCATGCACCTTTCAAATATCCGTCATCACACGATATGCCGTTCAAAGGCTGGAGCAGAGGGATGTGCATACCGTTAGAATAAGCTGAACAACACACATCCAGAGACCCCAATTCTTGATGGTCGCACAGGTCTATTCACCACAGATGAGCAGCGCAACGAAGCCCTCAGAAAATATTCTAGATCAGTCTCGGACCACACCGACAGTTCTTCAAGACTCAACCTCACCTCGGGAACTTTCCTAGTTGCTCTACCGGCAAAACCATAGTTTCTCACATAAACACGCTTGCGGACTTTGACAACAACTAAGAGCACTCCATAGCGATTCCAACGCAACACGCCACAACTAAAAATAAGACATGTGTACAGCTTAGTGAAGATATTACGGCAACTCCGTCGCCTACAACCACCTCGCAAATGCTGAATTGATTAAAGTAAGTTATATCAGATGATTCACAGACCAGCTCAGAGTACTATCACTCTGCGTGTCTCATAGAACTCAACTGTTCCGAATGAGCTCGCAAGCGTCCTCTGACGGACTTGGTCGGTTCCGGACAGAACTTCATTTCCGTTTCTTGTTGATGATGAGGAGCCGCGCTGAGGCTACTACCCAAAAGTGA